TTGATAATTGTCAGATAGATAAAGGTGTATTCTTGCAAGGTTAATACAAAATTGTAATCTGTTTTGGGTTTTGTATAGAGGAACAGTAACAGATAATGCAAAAATTTCAGAATAATTAAGTTTGGTAAATAGAATAGTAGTAAATTTAAGTATAAATTTTTTGAGGTTTCCTTCTAGAATGTCAAAAGGAATTGTAGCTTCCTGGTTAATGTTAGAATTGGATAGGAAGATAATATCAAAAAGAAATTTTGATCAAGTTTCAGCCATTTGATGAATAATGTGATAGAAGCTAGCTATAAGAGCTTTGTGATTTTCTGTTGCAGGTTTGATCTCTTTTTCTGAATAAAAGTCAAAGAGATGTTATTTAAAAAAGTTAAATAAGTCTTTAGATAGTTGGGTTTGTAGTTTAGTATTGTTTTCTATATCTAATGTAATAGAAAAATTGGTTAGAAAATTAAATGATGAATTATTTTTAGATTTAGTATTGGGAGGTAAGGATATATTTTGTTGAGTTGTTTGCTGTTTTTGTTGTTGTTTTTGTTGTTGTTTTTGTTGTAGTTGTTGTTGCTGTTGCTTATTATTTGTAGTAGTTGTATTATCAATATCCATATCTTCATCTTCATTATTTTTATTATTTTCTAGTAGTGTTAGAGGGTTGAATTGAGAAATAAGCAGGTTTTGAGATTTTTGTTGAATAAGTATTTGTTAAAGTTTATCTGCAAATAAAGTACGACTTTTAGAAAGATCTTGCTGAATGTTTTTGGAAGGGCTTTGTTGAGAGTTTTTGGAAGAGTCTTGTTATGAGTTAATTTGGTTTTCAATACAGGATTTATGATAAGGTTTGTCATTATATAACAAAGTATTAGCAGCTAAATAATGCCTGTTGTTGGTTACTTTGTAAGTAATAGGTTGGTTACAAGTAATGCAAATATGTTGGTATGTAGATAGTGAAGGTAAAGCAGTTAGGGATGGTAGGGCAAATTCAGTAGACTTAGCAATATTAATTGCAATTAGTTTTTTCTCTTTAGATTTTTTAGTAGCTTGTCCAAATTGGGTTTGTTCATAAGTTAAGTTTTTTTGTGAGACAAAGTTAGTGTAAAACTTGTCACAGATGCAAGTAACTATGCTACTAGCTTTGGAAGCTTTAAAATAATGACAGCATTTGGTGTTGCTTCTAAGTTCAATATTAAAGCAGTTATTTGGTTGTCTGCCAGTAGGAATTGAATATGAAGATAATGAGGTTTCTTTATAAACTCCAATATCAAAACTTTTAGAAAAGTTTTTATAAAAGTAGTCAAGATCAACAGAGTCAGGTTCAGAGCTTAAGAGAGTTGGCATTTTGTAATTGGATCAAATTTGTTGTAAAGAAAGGTTTTCTAAATTCTTGTTTGTTTAGAATTTAATAAGTAATTATATTACTATAAGAATAGTATGTATTTCTTAGAGATATTATTATAACTATTGCAAGTATTGTGACCTATGTAATTCATATAGCCAGCAGTAGTACTTAATATTTTGTTATACAAAAATAGTTAAAATAAGTTTTTTAGAAAAAAATTTTTTCTGTTTTGTAGTTTCTAGACTAGTTAGGAAAAATCTGAAAGATGTGTAGTGTTTGAAAAAGGTGATTGGATGTTTAAAAAATTTTAATAGGTACCAGAAAAGTGAATTTTCCAGGGCATCTTTGCAAATTTTCCTAAAATTGCTAATGAAAAAACTAGCAAAAACAGGTTTTAGGTTTTGTCTTTTTGAAGATAACTTGATGAGGTTTTGTTTGTTTAAAACAAAATATATATTAAAATGTCCGTCTTGGTGAGCTGAGTAAATTACAAATAATGAACAGAATATATTTAATTAGTAAAATTTTAAGCAAATAAGCAAAAACCAAAATATTGGTTTTTGTAACATTTCTCAATGGCTAAGAGTTGTTGAAACTTAAAACTTGGCTGCCTAGGAGCAGAAAAGTGTGCTGAACAACTTTACTTAATGATACAAGTAAGGTTAACTTAGTAAAATTTTGGAAATAATTAAATATTTTTAGTAAAAATTTGGTATAAGTGATTTGCAGAAAGAGTTACTGAAAAAATTTTTAGTATATTCTCATATATAATTTATTTTATTTTATTTTTTTTTAGATTTTTATATATAATTAATTTTAAAAAGTTGTTGAACTAAACTACTTTTTTCTGATTCACCTATTCTAAATATATAAATTATATCTGGCATCTAAAATCTTTTTAAATGTTTTTCATTTTGCTGTTTTTTAAGTTATTTAAATAAAACAAATCTTTTATAGATCTTAACCAAGATTTTGGAAGTAATTTTGTTTTATTTTTTAAAATATCTTCTTCTGTCAAATTATTTTAATAATATATTTAATTCTTTTTATATCTGCTAATCATAATTCACTAATTTCATCAGATTCATTTTTAGTATTTCTATCCAAAAATTAATAAATTCTAAATTCAAATAATCCAACTATTTTAGAAGGAAATTTATTATTTCCCTATCAGGTAAATGTATATAAACAATTTATATTATATTAGTTACATACCTTATTTAAATTAAAATAATCACAATAACAATTTGAATTTTTTTTACAATTATACAACTTCATTGCATAATTTTTATTTTGTTTAGAATTACCTTTAAGATAATCTAAAAAAGACATTAAACTATCTTTTAAGATTTTTTTTGTAGTTTTTTTTTTTAATAAATTTTAAATTATAAAAATATTTGAGCATGTAAACTCTATTATCTGTAGTTTTAAATTAATTATATATATATAATATTTTTAATTTTATTAAATTATATGAACTTTAATTATTTGGTATTGATCTTTTATATTTAATATTTTTATTTATATAATAATTACAAGTAATTTTATTACATTTGTTTAATTCACAACAATTTGTACATTTTTTATTTTTATAATACCAATGTTGTAAATTATATAATGAATATATAGAAACATCAAATTTTTTAAATTAGTTTTTTTATTCAAATTTATCTTTTTCAGATAAATTTTTTTTATATTTAAATTTTTTTTATATTTAAATTTTTTTTATATTTAAATTTTTTTTATATAGTAAACAATAATAAGAAATACCACAAATTTAAAAAAATTTATAATTTTTTTTTTATTTTCATTCTTAGTTTTTATTATATTTTATTTTATTTTTTAAAATAAAATTTTTAGATGATCAATAATTCTAAAGCTTATTTATATTTTTTATTTATATGTATTATTATAAATTATTTATATTAATAATCAATAAATTATTTTAAAATTATTTATTATTATATAATTTATATTTATTTTTTATATATAATAAATATTTTTTTTAAAGTTTACAAAAATGTTTTATTAATTTAAGCATTTCATTCAAAGAAAACATATTGTACAATACTAATAAAGTTGGTGTAAATAATATTTAACAATTTAAATATTAAATTTTAAGTTAAATAAATCAATATTCACAAAATTAGATCAATTTTTAATAAAACAATTTTCATCCTATTTTTACAAATTATTTGTTTTAAAATTACTATTAGTACAAAAATTACATTTTATACAAAACTTTATTAAGCTAATCAACTTTGTGTTATTAATAAAAAATATAAAATAGATCAAAAAATATATAGTTTTATAAAATTATTTATTTATTTTTTTAATAAATTATTTTATAAATTATATTTTAAAATCTAATAATTTTTTTAAAAATTTTAAAACCAATTCTAAAAACATTCATTTTTATTTATTTTTTTAAGCAATATGTTATTAGACTTACAAACAATAAGTTACCAAATCTCGCTATATGGAAGCTAATATATCTTTAAGATTTTGGTAAAAATTATATTTCTAGACACAGTCCATATTCAAGACAACTTTCATCTAATATAAAAATAAAGACAATAGCCTCTAAAGATGCTCTAAGAAGAATAGACCAATTATGATAAGAAGTAGGCACATATTAATCTTTATGCACTAACTAAGAATAACAAATAATTTTGTTTGTTTTATACTAAGAAAATTAATTCTCAAAACTGTTTTTAGCTATATGTAGTCTTATTTTTCTGCATAGAATCCAGAATTGTTCTAAATACAATATGCCCTAAAGTGTAAGAAAAAAAACATTTAAATAAAATAATTATTAAATTATTTTTCTTTATTCATCTCAACTATTCTTTATAATCTTTATCTTATTCTTCAACTTAGTATTCTTTTTTTTCAAGTTCTTAATTCATTTATCTCTCTTATAAAAATAATTTTATTAATATCATGAAAAGATTATTTCTTATAAATTATTAAATATTATTACATTTTATTTTAATTTTTTATTCTTATTATAATAATATTATTATTTAGAATTATTATTATTTCTTATATTATTATTATTTCTTTTATATTTTAACTTTTTCTTTTTGCTTTTTCTCTGGATACACTTTTTTTAAAATTCTTAGTTTGATATTTTATTTTTTTTTTATCTTTTAGATTACAATTATTTTTTTTATAATTAAAGTTTTTTTTATTTTACTCTTTATAATATATTCAAACCTTAATTACAAATTATATAAAATTTTAAAATTCTATTGAATAATTAGTTAATAAAGTTAAATTTTAAAAATTATATAATAAACAAAATTAGTAAAATATACTATTATAATAAAATAAATAAGATAAATGTATAGCTAGTATATAGTTATATATTCAAATCTAGCTGATAGATGTGTTAAATTTACTTAACAAGATTTATGATAATAGCATTAGTTTATAGTAATATAAGTAATATTTTATATTTTTAAACTACAAATATATTATTTAATTATAATAGTTTAAAAATAGAATTATAGAATATAATTATTAAATATAGAAATTTTAAAACAAGTTATATGAAATCTTAAAATATTATTAGATATTTAAAGTATTTTAATAATCTTTAAAAAGAATACAAATTTAAATTTAGTAATATTTCTAATATAATTAACAGTCTAATATATATTATTAGACAGTATAGATTATATGTTCAAGACTGACTAGAGTAAGTTTTTTGCTAGAATATAAGTTCAATAAGGTCTTTGATTACAATACTGAAAATAGAATTTTTTATATTTTTTTTAAATTATATTTATTTTATTATTAATTTTATATTAGAATATTATATTTTTATTATTATTAGTTATTTATATATATACTTATATTTTATTATAAAAAAAGAAAATAATAAATATAAAAAAAAATAAAAATAAAACAAATAATAATACAAAAAGAAAATAAAAAAAATAATATATATATTATAAAGTTAAAAACCAACACCTGACATTCTATTCCTATTATTATTATTTTCCTTTCTTTATCTTTTTTTTGTTTTTAATCTTTTTAATTCCTCCTCATCATTTGCCAACCTTGTCTTTAATTTATTTCTTTTCTTTAACAACTAAATATACCACTGCTTCAACATCTACTTATCTTGCATTCTTTCAACTGCATTTGCTCTCAACTCTTCCAACTTCATTTTCAAATTCTGTATTCTTTTTCTTTGTAAGGCCAACCAAATAAACTAAAAAAAGTTTTTATTAGTGACAAAATAAAAGGAAAAAAATAAGAAATTTTGAAATTAATATTTACTGCCTGTTTTTATCTTAGATTATTTTAAGACCTTATATAAGGTATTATTGCTGCATAATGAGCATGACAAACATTTTTTAGAAAACTATATTATGTTATTATTATTATTATTATTAGAGTTATTGTTATTATTAATGTTATTATAGAAGTTTTTATAAAAAAAAATAGATAAAATAAAAAAAATAAAAATAACAAAAATTCTTTCAAATAAATAATAATTAAATTTGTTAATAATAAAGACAAAATTGGAAATTAATTAAAAGTCAATTTAACAAATATAAAAATTTAATTAAAAATTAAATTAAATTTGAAATAACAATAATTTATAAATTAAATAATTTCAAATAATAAAAACAGAATTATTTTTAACTTTGTATAATAGTTGGAATTTTATAAAATAAATTTTCTAAAAAAAATATTATAAAATAAATTTAAATAAAATTAGAATATTTTAGTTTATTATTTCTAGTTAAAAATAAGTGATAAATATTTTGCCTATTAAAAAAAATACTAAGAATTTGAAATAGTAATGAGTCTTTAATTTGATTAAACAATAGTATATAAAGTCTTTTTATTATTTTTTTTTTTATAGAGAGCATTTCCAAAAGTATTGAAAAAGTTTTAGTAAAAATAAACAAAGTCTGTTATATTAGTCTCTTAATAACTTAATTTAAACATTGTTAAGTATTAGCAAGTTAAGTAAATATTTTAATAAAATCTTAAAAATTTTTCTGAATTAATAGTATGATTGTAAATAATTAATTTTATAAAAATAATAGTTAAAGACAAGAGTTATAGTATTGAGTTATTACTGAAATAATATAAAATGTAACTGAAGTAATCAGGATCACAATATAACTTAGATACTAGATACAAATAAAATTTAAAGTATAAATTGTTATATAATATTAGTAAGAACTAAATATGAAAATAGAAAATTATATTTAATAAATTCTATTAATAGATAGGTTACAAAATTTTAGTATAATTAATAAACTATAGATTAAAAAATAATCATATAATTATACAAAAAATATATAAGAGAAAAAGAAATGAAATAAGAACAAAAAATAGAAAAAAAATTTGTAAAAGAGTAATAAATGAATATAGCTGTAGTTTAGCTAATGTTAGATTAAAACTTTTTGTTTAGAGCTTATTATAATTAAGTAAATATGTATTATAATTTTAATTAAGAGTATAAGACAAATTAAGATAATAAAAACTGTAAAAAGATTAAATTATTAAAACTAGAAGCTAAAGATATTAGTACAATTTTTTTAGTAAGTTTAAGAACTAAAAATATAATATTTATGTAATATATATAAAATATTAAGTTAAACAAGTTTACTTAAGATATCAGAATAAATTATCTTAGTAAAATAAATTATTATAAGCGATTTAAAATAAATAATTTTTTAATTAATTCTTGTGTAATGAATTTGTAAAAAAAGTTATAGATAATATATTTATAATATATTTAAAACTAAAATTATTATAAAATATATTACTTAAATAATTTTTAATTTAATTAAACTAATATTTAATTTTTTAAAATATTTTAAATAAATTAATAAAAAAATTAAAAAAAAATTAAATTTTTTTTTTTTAAATATTAATAGAAAATTAAAAATTTTTAAAATATAATTTAATTATATTATAATATAATATAACTTTGACTAATAGTATACTTTATAATATATTAATTTTTTTATTATATAACTTATTTTAAATTTAATATATATTTAATTAAAATTTTTATCTTAAAAATATAATATATATTATAATAAAATTTACTAAAAACTATTAAACTATAATAAATTTTACAGTTAACAAATGTTGAGTAAAAGATCTTTTATTTGAAGAAAAATAATAAAAGAATTTAAATTCAATAACTTCCTAGACATTACAATAGAATCAGTTTTTAAATTAATCCTATTGTCTAGTCTATGTAAGTTAAATAAACCAAAATTGTTTACCTTTACAAGAATTATTAGATTTCAAGACTTAGAAATATCTATAGACTATAACTAAAAAAAGAAAACCTTAATAATCAGACTATTAAAAATTATATATAACTTTTAAATTTTAATAATATAAAGCTAGTATTTGTCAAATAACTATTTAAGAAAACTAGCCTTTCACTTTATATTATTTATAAAAAAATATAAAAAAATAAAATAAATAATAAAAGATAAAATATATTTAAAAATCAAATAAAAAATAGAGTTTATTAATACATAAAAGTAATATTTTATTAAAAGAAATTTAAGATATAAAAAAACTTAATACATAAGAAAAAAACTTAAAAAACTTGCTTTTTAAAAAAGCAAAAAGTTAAGATCCAATAAATTCAGAATAAAATTTATACAATGAACTTTTGATAATGCTTTTCATTCTTTAACAAATTTTATTGTAATCACATTTCAAAGAATTCAATAGTATTTTTATATAAGCTACTGCTATGCTTTACTTTTTTAGAATAAATTTCATTATGATAAAAAGAAAACCAAATAATGTTCTTGTATAAAGCTTCTGCAAATGCTTTTTTTCTTCCTTTAAAAGAGGGCAATATGATATTTACATAACCAATAAAAATTTCTTCTTGAATAGGCACCTGCTAACATTCCATAATTAGTTTCTTTATTATAGCTAAGATTCAAAAAAATTAAGTATTATTCTTGCATAGCACATCTGCTAATGCTTTTCTCAATTCAGAATCGATATCATTCAGCTAAGATTTAAAGAAGTCAGTGGAGTGTTTTTGCATAAAGCATCTACAAAAGCATATTCTCTTTCAGAACAAATATGATTATCACAAAGATTTAAAGAAGTTAAAGTAGTATTTTTACATAAAGTCTCTGCTAGTGCTTTTCCTACAACAGAACTAAGTTGATTACACCTAAGATTTAAAGAAGTTAGAGTAGTGTTTTTGCATAAAGCATCTGCAAATGCTTTTCCTCCTTCAGGACAAATATTATTAGTACTAAGATTTAAAGAAGTCAGGGTAGTGTTTTTACATAGTGCCTCTGCTAATGGTATCACGTCCAAGTTCCAAAAAAGTCAGATTATTACAACTAAGGTCCAAAGAAGTCAGAGTAGTGTTTTTACATAGAGCATCTGTAAATGCTATCATTCCTTCAGAATTAATATCATTTGCACTAAGATTTAGAGAAGTCAAAGTAGTGTTCTTACATAAAGAATCTACTAACGCTATTCTTCAACAGACAAAAGCCGATTACAGCTAAGATCCAAAGAAATCAGAGTAGTGTTCTTGCATAAAGCATCCGCTAATGCTTTCCCTCCTTCAGAACAAATTTCATTTTGCTAAGATTCAAACAAGTCAATGTAGTATTCTTGAAAACAACTTTTGCTATTATTTTCCCTCGTCCTGAACTGAATTTATTATTACTAAGATTCAAAGAAGTCAGTGTAGTGTTTTCGCTAAATCTTTCCTTTCTATAAAACCAAATTGACTCCAGCTAAGATTCAGAAAAGTCAGAATGGCATTCTTGCAAAGAATCTTTAAGTTGCCTTGAATCCTAAATCATTTTTGATCTTATAGTCAATAGAGATAACAGTTGTGTTTTTATAAAGATTCTCAAATACTATTTTATCGTAAACCATTTCGCCAAGTTTTAAGTACTTGAGTATATGACTCGTTCGTAAGAACATTGCAATTAAAGAAGATGTAACGATATTTCTAAGAGCATAAATTATTTCATCATTTTTATTATGAAATCCAAAATTAATCCAATCTTTGATTCCATTATGCAAACCATCGCCAAAAGATATAGTATAACTTGTATATTCAAATAATGGTTTTGTATAATTCGGAAGGGTAATGTTAAAAGGGATTAATGATAATTGTTCTTCGGAATTTAATGTTAAAAGATATGCTGTATTCTTATAAGTCTTTCATCACTAATATAAGTTGTCGGTTCGCTCCATAATATTGGTACAACAATTCTACACCATTTGCGGTTTAAAAGAAGACATGAAAATAAGCTTTTATAATGAGTACTGAAATTATTAAAAATTTTGAATAGTAATTCGCTCGGTAGTGATATCATTCTAAAAGGAATCTACTATTCGTATAAAGAACTGATATATATATATGTGGTCCAGTAAAATGTCGTGAAACGTTCTACTAACTTACAGGATTTCCTCGTGTCTTAATATCGATTCCGAATATATTGAATATTGTAAGTTATGATTTACAGATGTTAAAAAATTTACATCAATGGTTCCATGCGATACAAATTTAAAGGAAAAAAATCAAACTGGGCCAGCTTAGGGTTTAAGGTTACCTATTACTTGAAATGTTTTCCGAAAAAAATTGGGTTTTTAAAATTTGAGTTTCGAATTTTGAAAAACCGAAACTTAATTTACATGTGTATAATTATTTGGAGAAATTATTTATATAAATGGCGAAACTTAAGCTCAAAAAAGACAAGACGAACCCCTGACGAACGGCAAAATTGACAATGGTGAAATCTTATTAAACCGATGAAACTCTAGTCTTCAAATCTCTCTAACATGCCATTATAAAAAAGTTACGTAACTGAATTCAAATTTTCTCGATAATAATTTAAATTGTAGCTTTGGCTATTTTAATTGAATCCTCGAAGTTTCAGATTAAAATGTTTGTTACACATTATTAATAAAAACATCATTATACATGTGTAATAATTAATATGGTATATCTTATCTATTTCAGTAAAAAATTGATAAATATAAGATTCTTTGTCATTGTTAATGAATAAGTTATTAATTTTTATTTTAATACGAAATTGATAATAGTAGTAGTTCGAAGCGGATTGTAATTAAGATTCGAAGAACTTAATGTTTTGTAAAGAACCGTGTTTAATGTTGCCTCTCCTCAGAACCAATTTGATTATAATTAGGATCAAATGAATTTAAGGTAAGTTCATGCAAAGAAAATTTGCTAACCTTTCCTCTCCTTTATGCTATCACTTCTTCGGAACAAATTTCATTTAATAGAATTAAAGAAGTCAAAATAATGTTCTTGCATAAAGCCTCTGCTAACGCTTTTTTCTTCCTTTAGACGAAAAGATAATGTTCACAAGAACATAAAAAATATCTTCTTGCATAGATGCCTGCAAACATTCTCTCACCTTCAGAATTCATGTCATTATAACTAAGGTCTAAATAAGTTAAAGTAGTGTTCTTGTATAGAATATCTTCTAATGCTTTTTTCCATTCAGAATTGATATCATTACAACTAAGATTTAAAGAAGTTAGAGTAGTGTTTTTGCATAGAGCATCTACAAATGCTTTTCCTCCTTCAGAACAAATATGATTATCACAAAGATCTAAAGAAGTTAATGTAGTGTTTTTACATAAAGCTTCTGCTAATGCTTTCCCTCCAACGGAACTAAGTTGATTACATCTAAGACTTAAAGAAGTTAAAGTAGTGTTCTTGCATAAAGCATCTGCAAATGCTGTTCCTCCTTCGGGACAAATATTATTAGTACTAAGATTTAAAGAAGTCAAGGTAGTGTTTCTGCATAGTGATTTTGCTAACGCTTTCACTCCTCCATAAGTAATGTTATTATGGCCAAGATTCAAAAAAGTCAGATCTTCTCCCACCAAATTAAGATTATTACAACTAAGGTCCAAAGAAATCAGAGTAGTGTTCTTGCATAAAGCATCTGCTAATGCTACCCCTCCTTCAGAACGAATATTATTAGAACTAAGATTTAGAGAAGTCAAAGCAGTATTTTTACATAAAGCTTCTGCTAATACTTTCCCACCACCGGAATAAATATTATTAGTACTAAGATTTAAAGAAATCAAAGCATTATTCTTGCATAAAGCCTCTGCTAATTCTTTCATTCCTTCAGAAATAATGGTATTATGACTAAAACCGACAGAATTAAGATAATTATAACTAAGATTCAAAGAAGTCAAAGTAGTGTTCTTGGATAAAGAATCTGCTAATGCTTTCACACCCTCAGAAAGAATATCATTAGCACTGAGATTTAAAGAAGTCAAAGTAGTATTCTTGCATAGAGCATCTGCTAATGCTTTTCCTCCCACAGAACTAAGTCGATTACAGCTAAGATCCAAAGAAGTTAGAGTAGCGTTCTTGCATAAAGAATCCGCTAATGCTTTTCCTCCTTCAGGACAAATTTCATTGTGACTAAGATTCAAATAAGTCAAAGCAGTATTCTTGAAAAGAACTTCTGCTAATGCTTTTCCACCTGTTGTTCCAAAATTATTATTACTAAAATTCAAAGAAGTTAGAGTAGTATTATTATAAAGAACTTTTGTTAATTCTTTCCTTTCTATAGAACCAAGTTGACAATAACTTAGATTCAAAGAAGTCAGAATAGCGTTCTTGCAAAGGATCTTTACTATTGACTTGAATCCTAAATCATTTTTGATCTTATAATCAATAGAGATAACGGTTGTGTTTTTATAAAGATTTTCAAAGATTATTTCGTTATAAACCATTTCACCAAGTTTTAAGTACTTAAGTTTATGACTTGTTCGTAAGAACATTGCAATTAAAGAACATGTAGTAATGTTTTCAAGATCATTAATTATTTCATTATTTCTATTATGAAGGCCAAAATAAATCCAATTTTTGATTCCATTATGTAAACGATCACCAATAGATATAGTATAACTTGTATATTCAAATAATGGTTTTGGATAATTAGGAAGGGTAATGTTAAAAGGGATTAATGGAGATTGTTCTTCTGAATTTAACGTTAAAAGATATATTCTCATAAGTCTTTCATCACTAATATAATTTGTTGGTTCGCTCCATAATATTGGTACAACTGTTCTACACCATTGGCGGTTTACAAGAAGACATGAAAATAAACTTTTATAATGAGTATTAAAATTATTAAATATAATAAAAAGCAATTCGCTTGGTAATGCTATCATTTTAAAAGGAATTTAATTTTTACTGTACGTGTGTAAAAAAAAAAACCAAAAAAAAAACCAGATACGTATATGTAGATAAACCGTCGTGAAACGTTCCACTCAATTAAACCTAGGTGCCGCACAAAAAAGATGCACAATGTTGATTGGCCAATGGCGATCATTAAAAATTTAGACAAAAATTACAAGTGAAAAAATATTTCTCGGCTAAAAAGAACCATTTTGGAATTGAAAAATTAAAAAAAAAATTCGATTCCGGCTAAAATTATGTATAATGCGGGCTAAGATTTTGTCGATCACGGCCATTGGCTAATTAAAATCGAGGATCTGCCACAAAGTTTTGTGCGGCACCTAAGTAACGCATGCATCGGAATTTCTAATCAGAGTTAGACTGGAATTTAGGAGCATAGCCTATGGCTTAATAAGTGGCTATGATTTCTAGTGTTCCGCAAAAAAAGAACCGGTTGGAACCGGGCACAAAGTAGTATTTCATAAAAGGTGCCCGAAATAAAATCGTATGTATGATAATGTGGAAAACATCACACTAGAAACAGGATTCGCTTTGTATTTCTCACATGCCTGTTATCAGTAGCGGTAGCAAGTCTTCAAAGCTACCGAAAACTTTGCAGAACTTTGAAGGTGACAGACACGTAGAAATACAAATTGAAGCCCGTTTCTGGTGTAAATTTCCCACACTATTATATATACGATCTTCAGTTCGGTACCTTTTGTGGAACACCGCTTTATGGCCACTAAAAATGCAAAATCAGGTTTTTAAAATTTGTCACGGGAATAATTAATAGGCAACATTACTGCGAAAGACGGAACTTAAAGCTCAAAAAAGACGAGGACGAAACCCTTCACGAAACAACGAAATATTGCCAAAATAGTTTTACGGTATGATGATCATGGTTTTTTGAACGCCATCATCGTAAATATGCACTACTTTATGCATTTTATACTATACTCTCTTTCGCTTAATAACACAACCAGAGCGGCTACCGGTTGTATGGGTCACGTTGATGGCGCCAATAAGCACAATATGCAATACAGGGTCAAAATTTCGTTTGCAACAATTACTGCAGGTGGCGCTATGACCCGTAAAATTGGTGGCCGCACTGGTCGTGTCTTCGCTTAATAAAACTTTTAGCCAAAATACAATTCGATTAGTTAAGCACAATATTTATGAAACATGAATCACTTTTTTTTTTTTTGAAGATACTTAGAACCGCAAAAATTCGTTGAATTACTTCTAGAAATTGGCAAAAATAGTAATAATTTTTACATGCAAGATGTTAAGAGAATAAATGAAATAATGATTTAAAAAGTATTATATTTAACTGTCAAAAGAAATTTACATTTAATATTAAAAACTTACAATCGATAAATTCGGACCCTTGATTTTAATATTTTTTAAATTTTAGATCCTTTTTTTCATTCTGGACCCTTATATGTAATTATTTTCATTTTTCGGGCCCTTATAGGTAATTTCCCCTTAAATTTTCTCGAATACGTTTTTAAATATATTCGACAGAATTCTCTGAATTTTCAGATTAAAATGGATTTTGCATGTTATTAATAATACCATCATCGTTATCTCGTTATTTTTACGGGTTTGATCGTGGAAGCTCAAATTTATTGTAAGAATTAATACAACGTAATACTATTTATCCAATAAATCTGCTTATATTAAGATTAAACAATGTAAAAAGTTTATAGAGAACAATTCATTGTTATTATTAATAAGTTGCTAATTTTTTATTTTAACAAAGTTGATAACTAACAGAAATAGTCGAAGTGGAAGAAATTAATGTTTCGTAAAGTGTCGCACCTAACGTTATCTCTTCTTGGAACCAATTTTAAGGTTCAAAAATTTAGGGCAAAGTTCATGCAAAAAGTTTGGCTAATGCTTCCTCTTCATCAATAAGTTGTATATAGCTAATATTTAAAGGAATTCAGAGTAGTGTTCTTATATAGAACCTTTGCTAACGCTTTTACTCCTTCGGAGAAAATTTAAAAAAGTCAAAATAGTGTTCTTACATAGTGTTTCTATTGATACTTTTTCCACCTTCAAATAAGATAATCATCAAAAAGATCTAAATAAACAAAATGGTTTCTTGCATATAAATCTGCACGTACTCTCTCTTCTTCAGAATTAATGTTATTATAGCTAAGATCCAAAGAAGTTAAAGTAGTATTCTTGCATAAAACATCCGCTAATGCTTTCCTTCCTTCAGAATCAATATCATTGCAACTAAGATTTAAAGAAATTAGAGTAGTGTTTTTGTATAAAGCCTCTGCAAATGCTTTCCCTCCTTCTGAACAAATATAATTATCACAAAGATCTAAAGAAGTTAAAGCAGTATTTTTACATAAAGCTTCAGCTAACGCTTTTCCTCCAACAGAATCAAGTTGATTACATCTGAGATTTAAAGAAGTTAAAGTAGTGTTCTTGTATAAAGCATCTGCAAATGCTTTTCCTCCTTCAGAGTAAATATAATTATCATAAAGATTTAAAGAAGTCAAAGCGGTGTTCTCGCATAGAGCATCTGCTAATGCTTTCACACCTTCAGAAGTGATGATATTAGAGACAAAATCCAAAAAAGTCACAAAACTAAGATTATTATAACTAAGATCCAAATAAGTCAAAGTAGCGTTCTTGCGTAAAACATCAGCTAATGCTTCTCCTCCTTCAGAATAAATATGATTGGCACTAAGATTTAAAGAAGTCAAAGTAGTATTCTTGCATAGAGCATCTGCTAATGTTTTTACCCCTTCAGAATAAATATGATTAGCACTAAGATTTAAAGTAGTCAGAGTAGTGTTCTTGCATAAAGCTTCTGCTAATGCTTTAACTCCTTCGGAATAAATATTATTAGCACTAAGATTTAAAGAAGTCAAAGTAGTGTTCTTACATAAAGCATCTGCTAAAGCTTTTCCACCCGCTGGCCAAATTTTATTGTGACTAAGATTCAAATAAGTCAAAGCAGTATTCTGGAAAAGAACTTCTGATAATATTTTTCCACCTTCTGAACCAAATTTATTATGACTAAGATTCAAAGAAGTTAAGGTAGTGTTCTTACAAAGAACTTCTGTTAATTCTTTCCTTACTATAGAACCAAATTGACTATAACTAAGATTCAAAGTCAGAATAGTATTCTTACGAAGGATCTTTAATATTGCCTTATATTCAAAATCATCTTTAACCTTATAGTCAATAGAGATAATAGTGTTGTTTTCATAAAGATTTTCAAATATTATTTTATTATAAATCATTGTACCAAGTTTTAAGTACTTAAGTTTATAACTTGTTCGTAAGAACATTGCGATTAAAGAACATGTGATAATGTTTAAAAGCTTATCATTAGTTATTTCATTATTTTCATAATGAAATTCATAATCAATCCAATTTTTGATTCCATTATGTAAACCATCACCAATAGATATAGTATAACTTGTATATTCAAATAATGGTTTTGGATAATTTGGAAGTTTGATTTTAAAAGGGACTAATAGGGCTTGTTCTTCTGAATTTAACGTTAAAAGAAATATTCTTAAAAGTCTTTCATCATTAATATAATTTGTTGGTTCGCTCCATAATATTGGTACAACTATTCTACACCATTGGCGGTTTACAAGAAGACATGAAAATAAGCTTTTATAATGAGTACTGAAATTGTTAAATATATTAAAAAGTAATTCGTTTGGTAGTGATATCATTTTAAAAGGGATTTACTTTTTCGTATGTATAAAAAAAAACTGATATTTATAGCGCCATAAAATGTCGTGAAACGTTCCACTCAATTACTGGATTCCTGAAAATTCTTGAATTGTAAGAGTTACGTATGTACATACGTATTATTTTGCCGATGTTTAGTGTCACCGTTATCCAACCGTGAAATCTATTTTGGGATAGTGTCCTAATTTTTTTGATTATTTTTTGATTGGTAGATTAGCTTAGGGTTTAAAATATACCTATGATCCATTATAAAGAAATCCGAAACCCAAAACTGAACATTGAATCATAACCGAGCTACCTGCAAGTTAATTGCTTGCCCACCTGGATAAAATTTAATCTGCAAATTATATGATTGAATACATATATAATATATGTTGCTTGTATCTGATTGGTTACTCTTTTTACCCGCTAACAAAATCTTTACTTAGTTAAATGGCTACTCACGGGTAACCTGAGTAATCCGGATACGGTTTAATCCTAATCCAAAATCATATTTTTGGTCTCGAATTAGAATTTCCAAACTATTTCCATTACGGGTATAATTATAAAAAAACAAATGAAACTCTAGACGAAACGGCGAAATCCTGTGAAATTGAAAATAATGAAGTTTTAACAAACCAACGAAATTCTAGTATTATAATCTTCCATATAAAAAAATTATGTCACTGAGTTTAAAATTAAATGAAGTTTGGCATTTTATAGTCAGTTTTAATCAACGTAATTTTTTTATCGTCTTAATTGTTAATGATGTTAAATAAAATATTAAAATACTGCAAAAGGTATCTACCGTTTAAAGAAAAACAAAAGTGTGAGACAAATAGACGATGAAGCAAATTTTATGGCAATGATAAATATATGTACAATTGTGATTAAATAATTTTAATATTATATAAATGATAATATGTCATATAGACGATGGTTTACTCCTAAGTCATTTGAACTTGTTTAACTAAAAAATATTGAATCATTTGAGCAAATCTAAAAATGCAAAAAATTAATATATCAATATACTAGCAAGACTTCTTTGCAAACTAAGGACAAATGCCAGAATAGGAGCAGAATGAAGAGAAACAAACATAATTAAAAGTTTTAAGCCAGAGACAAAAATCATAATTTATAATTGAAGATACTTTTGAAAAAGAATGAGTGCAATAAAAGAAATATAAATTTTAAGAAGAATATATTAGTACAAGGAGAACAGTAATTATAAAATTCATAATGGATAAACTCCCAACACTAAAAGAGTTAAATAAAAGAGAATAAAGTTAAAGAGACACAGGCACACTTGGCATTTTGTAAGTAACAAGCAAATTTTTAAAGAATTTAAAAAGTAATAATAACAAAAATCAAAAAAATATTTAAAAAAGAAGAAAAATCTGAATTTTTATATTCATGTTCTATACAGTTCTTTATAAAAAAACAGAAGCAGAGAATACTAAGACAAGAGAAACATTAATACAAGGCCTAATTCTAAAAAAACATATGAAAATTTAGAATTACTTTTACAAATACAAAAGTTATATAATAATTTATAAATATAATTGTAAAAATAAAAAAAAAACTTTTTAGAAACTCTTTCTGTAGATCATTTTACAAATTCTTACTAAAAACATTTAATCTTTTCTCAATAATTTACTAAGCAACCCTTACTTGTGTTCTTAAGTAATGTTGTTCAGCTTACTTTCTTATCCTAGTTGGTCAGGTTTTAAGCTTAAATATCACCTGGCTACTAAGAAAAGTTTCAAAAACTAAATCTTTAGTTTTTGTTTCTTTTCTAAAAATTTACTAATAAAACATATTTTGTTGCTTATTAGAAAACATTCAGCTCCTCAAGATGATCATTTTGAGATATATTTCATTACAAACAGACCAGAATTCATCAAAATACATATAAAAAGGCAAAAACTAAAACCTGTCTTTACAGGTTTTTTTATTGATAATTTTAAAAAAATCTATTGGGTTGTTCTAGCAAATTCACTTTTCTGGTACCTATTAAAATTTCCTAAACATCTAGTAGGTTCTCACATTTGTTCTATATTTTTCAAAATTCTTCTAAATATTTTAAAAGTTTTTATAATTAAAAAATTTTCTTAGAAACTAATAATAGCAAAACAGTTTATATTACTTTAAAGTTATAATTATAATCTAGTTATTTCTGTCTACT